ATGGTGTTCGCAAAAGTCTCCCAGGCTAGTTCTGGGGTGCAGTTAGCTAGAAACGTCCAACTGGTATTCTCAACTAGAGCAGACAGAACGTGGTAATGGGTAACAGATTGCCTCGTTTCGAGCTCCGCAGCTGGATATTCGGCGTAGCAGATGTAATCAAACTGCAAAGTCACGTGATCGCTACGGCCCAAAGGACTGCACACCTTTAGTCCATCGACCATGAGCTCTTCGTTAGTGAGCACTAGATCTAATATCGATGGGTTGTTTCCTGTTCTGAACCTGGTTGAAATGGTGACGTGGTTATACAAGAAGGTGCTAGAGAGTAGCTCTTGCAAATATGCCTTGAACACTTCTGTCTCGGATGCTGGATTTTCCAAGTCATGGGTGTTGAAATCTCCTGCAACGAGGATGTGGCTGTACTTCTGATTAAGCACGGAGCGAAAAGCGGAGATAAGTCTGTTGTCCCTTTCCGGAGTGGATTTCGGTGGTCGGTAAACCACAGAGAGAAGGCATACGTCGTTGCGTTCCAACCACAGTTTGCACCAAAGGACGTCCGCGACACAAGTCTGGGGATCGTCTATGAGCTCATAACGAAGGTTCGTTCGGAAATAAATGAGCACGCCACCGCCTTTGCCCGTTCTGTCGTTCCGGGGAAGTGACATACCCGGTATGGCAATCTCAGTGTCTGTGATTTTGCCGCTCAGCCAGGTTTCGGCGATCATTATGATGTCTCGAGGCTCCGAAGCCGAACGGTGACGGAGTTCTACCAACTTAATTATGAGGCCTTGTGCAATAGTATACATGCAGGATAATGCTTTTGTAACCAAGAGTGAGCTAGCACAGGGTGTGGTAGGAATGGAGTTCGTGCCGACCGTTAACGGGTCGGCCATTAACCGTATTTTGTGGTGACGTTTGCCTTTGAGTTTGCTTTCGGTTAGACGACTGATCGCGGCCTTCCGGGCCCTGCTGGTCCCCCGTGTTCAACCGTATTTCGTGGGATATTGCGGTTGTCCATAAATCCATGCCTTCACAAAGTTGCATGAGTGGATGGTTCAACAATTTGATCGCTCCCCGTGAGTCGTTGGTAATCCGTGGCAGCGTACCTGATGCCTTTAACCGAATTTCTGCTGGCAGCTTCATGCGGAATTTGGACCAGTTTTCCAAGGCGAGCGGTAACATAAACTCAGATTGAAGCACCACCTTCATAAGTCTGGGACCGTTCCCTCTGTAGTTGGGTGAAAATGGAATCCTGGTCAACCGCTTAGCGATGATATTGTAGCGAGAACGACACGACAGGGGGGTAGACGTTTATTGCACACCGAAAATGGGCACCTGAGGGTCTCGCGCGCGCCATCGAATATTGACTAGATTTCCGTCCCACCTCGCAACACAGGTACGGATGTTAGAGGCGAGCCAGTCCTTTCGCTTCGGGAGCTCTGACTTGGAAGTCCCGCCTTCCTGTTTTCGCCTCGATCTCCGCTTCTCTGCACCCGATCTGGATCGGCCAGGAGTTGTTCGAGAGCTCTCGACTTGCTTGTTCTTGGCCGTGGCAATCGGCTCGGCCTCGGTCCTGTGGGCTGCACTAGCGGCGTATTTGTCTGATTTATTGTGCTGTCCATATTTTCCCGCTCCGTAGTTCCGGGCCCAGGCTCGTCGCTAGTCGTCTTTCGCGATCCGCTCTCAGCTAGCTCCGAAGAGCTCCCCCGAGGCATTCTTGGAAACGACCCCTCTACAATATTATTGAGGGAGATTTCGTGGCGGATGTAACTCCATTGCTCCCGGTCATGTGCATCCGCTGCATCAGAGGTTGAATTTTGGAGCTCAGGAACCCCGTACACAATTATCGTCCGTTTCGCCTCGGCTTTACGAACTTCCTCACGGTTGCTCATCTTTTTCGGACGTTCGTTCCAGGGGATATCAGGAAGTATGCGCGCCTCGAGCGATGAATGACGAAGCCTGTTGGACGATAGTAGAACTGCCTCTGTGTCCTTGGTGGAGTTTAGTGTCACCCGGAGAAGTCGGGGTTCACCGTAGTGCGCTGAATTTGAATGACGTGTGACTCGTCTCAGCATTTCAGGTTCAACCGAAATGTCAATCGCAGTACATATAGACTTCCACTGATTACGATCATCCAACGGCTTCCCCTTTATTGTACTCGCCTGTGATTCAGGAACATTTGTACACACAACGGTTAACGCGCCTTGGCTCCTTGCGTTGGATGCAGATTTGCCATAACTTACAGACACGGTGTTAAACGGATTGTTTGGTTGTTGGAATCTGGTCAACTTACTGTTGCTTGGTGAGGCCACCGGAGTCGGAGGTAATTTAGCCGGTGTATGCATGGAGGCGACTGAGGCGTACGACGCCCGACTTTTCTCTACGGCTGAAGAGGTTTGCCCCGGAGCTTCCGCGGTTGCTGTTGAATGGAGGTGGGGCGTGTGACTCAAAGGTGTGGACATCAGTACTCTGGATGTTCGTCCGCTTTTGGGAGTTGAGTGAGGCAGGGGATTTGGAGAAACTGAGGCTGCAGCGCGGCTTGAGCGTCTAGCCCTTTTTTTCGGCCTCAAGGTGGAGCTTTCTTTGACCGAACCCTTTCTTTGATAGAAACCATACAGTGTTCTGAATGGGTTCATCTACTAGTTGCCGCTCAAACGAAACATGGCTGTATTCGTCTGTGTACCGAACTTCGAGCGCTTAATCGACATATGTTTGTGGACAAGTTCCATCTGCCTTCTATCGACGAGTTGATCGTTAAGCTATCGAACGCCAAACTTTTCTCAAACCTGGACATTCGCAGTGCATACTATCACATTCCACCGATTCCAGCTCGCCGACATTTGACTGCTTTCCTCAGGCAAGACGGTTTGCATCAATACAAAGTGCTACCAATGGGCCTTAGTAGTGCCCCAGCAGCTTGGCAGAAATTTATTACGCTATCTTTATCAGAGCTTAAAGGATGTGTTGTGTATATAATTGAGATTTGTGTCTTTTGTAGTATCACCACCGAACATCAGGAAAATCTTCGTAATGTGCTGCATAGACTGAATGAACTAAATCTCTGTCTGAATACCAACAAATGCCAATTCGCTGTAACGGAGATTTGAGTTTATTGGACATGTTATTTTTAACTCGGGTATTAAGCCTAATGTGCAGAACACCAGAGCCATTCTCGATTGTCCAAAACCATGCAACGTTACACAGATGGAACATTTATTGGGCTTGTGTTCGTATTACCTTCGACATTTACCGAATTTTGCGACTATTGCCGAGCCGTTACGGAGATTGACGCGCCAAAACAATGAATTTCGTTGGGCCGCTGAACAAGACAATGCTTAGATGACCATAAGAGCGATGATTGAATCCACTCCTAAGGTAGCGATCTTCAATGAGCAATGTCCAACGTTTGTTTCACCGGATGCTTCAGATGTTGGCTTGGGTGCAGTTCTGTCACAGCTGCACGCTGGCGAGGAGAAAGTGATTGCGTACGCATTACGCACTTTTTCTGATACTGAAAGAAATTATTCCACCGGCGAGAAGGAGGCCCTCGCATACTTCTGGGCATGTGAGGAATGGCACCTTTACTTATTCGGACGTCGATTCACTTTGCGCACCGATGGTTCTGCTGTTAGCACGTTACTAAGTCGCGATAACAAAGGCCAAAAGCCGGTAACCTTGAACTATGATTTTGAAATAATATACGTGCCAAAGTGTTTTAACCAACTTGCAGATACCTTGTCGAGATTCCCAATGTCCAACGAAGGGGAAAACGAGGACTTAGAGGAGGTAAATGATTTCTCAGCTCTCAGACGGAACACCTACAATAACATTTGACCTGATACGAGAGCATACTGACAATGACCCTATGGTTCAGCGTCGCCTATGTTGTGCAGACAACTGCAATAAAGTGCTTAAGATCAGTATTACCTGTTCCAGCTGCATTAAATCGTACTGCCCGCAATGTGCAGGCAAATCCGTCCAAGAAGTGAGACAGACAAACCAAGTTGCTGACACAATTTGGTTTTGCCCATCATGTCAGGTGATTCCAGTTGTCAACTGTTTATCACTGCTAATGAAAAAATGCGATAGGATGACTGAAATAATCGCGCCATTTGTAAATACTAAGGTTGCTCCCTCGGAGTTAAATATGGCCACGATAATACCTCACCCGGTCAAAGTTAGTTCTGCGTCTAAACCGAAGAAAAGCGCTAGACGATCCAACCGCACTGCAGCGTCTTTGACTCTAAACCCACTGGGTCACCTCACTCCCATCAGTGAGCAAGCCTCAATCATGTCTGCGTCCACTTCTCCAACCATAGACGCTTCACTTGGAGATTCAGCCATGACACCGATAGCTCACAGCCGAAGGAAATCCGGTGCAGATAACAAGCAGGTTACGTACGCATCGATTGCATCGACAAACACACCGGAAGCAACACACACAAGTTCATCTTCAGTACCGAGCACGCCTGGCGCAAAGCAGCTGTCACTGTCAACTCAAGTGGTGCCCTCTAAACAAACTGAATTGCCGGCAAAAAGTATAAAGCCAACACTCGCTAGACAAAACCACGCTGCGCTAACTCTCGTGTGCACCAATGTTCCCGAATCCAAATCTGGCACAATAAAAGGCAAGTTGCAAGACGATCGCGACCAGTGGAGTTCCATCTGCGAGGCGATTGGCATTCGGGTTGAGCCTGCAATACTGCAACGCGTAGCACGTCACCCGACCTCAGTGCACTCTGGTGAACCTCGAATCCTTCGAGTAACACTAAACTCAGCAGATGAGACGGAGGCTGTCCTGCTCTCAGCAGTTCGTCTTCGCAACTCACCGAGCGGAGTGCGCATATTACCTGATCTACCTTGGAAAGACCGCGCAAAAGAATCAGTGGAGCAACGCGGTATTGCTACTAGGGATAGCAAGAAAACAATATTTGTTCATGGTGTTCCCGAGCTTCTGCATGGCTTTGAGCACGATGCACAAACACATGATCGGGAACAGTGGTGCTACATCCGCGAAGCACTCTCTGTAGACAATGTTATTGCCAAATCCCTAACAAGAGTTCCGTTATCACCTAACTACAAGGGCTGCGGTTCAAGGCTAATGAATGTAATACTACACTCCGAAGGAATGATTCAAGTTCTGTTGGATAGCTGGCTAAAGTTTCGAGCTAGGTTGCCAACAGAAATACGGCTAAAGGCAGCAGGCGAACGACCAAAAGTCGGAAGAAATTCGATGGAACTTGCAAACGCTGCAAATTCTTTATTTGCACAGTCCTTCGGAGAGACCGACACAACAGCGCCCACGTCACACAGGAGGACCGAGCACAGCACGAGTGAACCATCAGTTCAGGAACGCTCAATAATGTCATGTAACACGACTGAAATATACAAACCAAAAAACGATTAATTGCCGGCCACCTAACGGCCGGCTTAAAAGCGAACACCAACTTGACATCCACCAATGAACTCCTAACCACAAAAGCCCTATCTTGCATGTATACAAACGCTCAAGGCCTTCGAAGCAAGTTGGTCGAACTTAGAGAACTCCATGCCTCACAACCGCGGGACCTCGTCATGATTACAGAGACATGGTTAAACCCTGAGATAACCGACTGTGAGATCAAGTTACCCGGTATGTCGCTGCTTCGGACCGATAGAACCGGAATGGGTGGCGGTGTGATTCTTTACTATAATACAAGCCTCCGATGTGAAGTTATCGATCACCCGGAAATCCGAGCTCCCGATTCGCTTTGGTGCCGCCTTTGGTTGCGAAACAAGGACACATGTCTACTAGCCGTGGTTTATCGCCCGCCAAACTCAACGTCGGAAATGGACTCCAAACTGTACCACGTTTTTCAGTTTGCTTTGAACAAGTCCTACACCCACATTCTTATCGCGGGAGACTTTAACGTGCACGACATAGAAACGCCGGCAACTGACGGTACGCAGTTTAAAGCCTGTTTGCAAGAACTTATTGCTAGCCACCCTCTTTACAACCACGTAACCTCTCCCACCAGATTTCGAACTTCTAACAAGCCGTCGATACTGGATCTTGTGCTAACTAACGAAGAACTCATGGTTGGCGGGATAGTTACAAGCACACCACTGGGTCGTAGTGATCATGTCACTCTACTCTTTGATTATATATGCTATGCCGAGTACCCGGAAAAGGAGGAGGATAAAGTGCACACTGTCACGCACTACAATGTGTTGTCCAAGCTTGTTAAGGATACATCTTGGACTTTCTTAATCGAATGCCCCCCAGATCTGGCCTGGGATATGTTTACAAGGACTTTGAGCACACTGGTAGCGCAAGCATCGGAACAGAAGTCCTTCCAACCCAAAAACCGGAGTAAGTCATTTCTGAGGAGCAGAACACGTAAATGTATGTCCCGGAGGGATTTGGCATGGCGAAGTCACCAGGGTTGCCCGAATGCCGAAACCTGGACTGCATACGTGACCCATCGTAACTTCTGTGTGAAACTGATCCGCGAAGACAAGGTCACGCATCAGCAGAAGTTAATGAAGCGATTCTGCACTAACCACAAACTCCTGTACAGGCACATTAACGGCCTTCGAAAGGTAAAGCGAGGGGTTCCGGCGCTAGTCACGGCTGATGGATACACGCGGTCAGCAATGGAAGCAGCTGATCTCCTACGGCTTCATTACTCCCAAACGTTCCAACAAGTGTCGAGCCCGAACATTCACCTCATTTCTAATACTCCACCACCCGGTTTAGAAAACATCACCTTCACTACGGAGGCTGTGTTGAAGAAGTTGTTATCCTTGCGTATCCACAGTTCTCCCGGAGCTGATAACATCCGACCAAAGGCTCTACAGGCAGTAGCTAGTGATCTAGCAGAACCACTGGCTGTTTTCTATCAGCGATGTCTAGAGGAAAACCTTATTCCACCAGTATGGAAGCAAGGGGTCATCACTCCTATCCATAAAGGAGGTAGCCGCACTGATCCTGCAACTACCGTCCAATAACACTACTTCCCGTACTATCCAAAGTGATGGAATCAATCGTCGCAGACGCGCTGATGCAATACCTGGAAAGCCACAATTTAATAGCCCCAGAGCAACATGGCTTTCGTCAAAAGCATTCGCGTAATGCTAACCTATTAATTGCACGTAATAGCTGGACTGAAGCTTTCGATGATGGAGTTGTAGTCGATGTCATCTACCTGGACTTTTCAAAGCGTTTGATCGTTTAGACCATCGAGTTCTCCTTCAGAATCTTCGGAACTACGGCATTAACGATCCAATCCTGAGTTGGATTAGCAATTTTCTACAAGAACGACGGCTAGTGGTGAGAGTCCGAGAATCATTTTCTCATGCAATCGACGTGACGTGTGGAGTACCACAAGGCTCGGTTCTTGGACCTCGTCTATTCTTGGTGTTCATTAACGATTTGGCGAGATCAATTACTTCCGATTTCTTATTTTTCGCTGATGATATCAAGATATGGCGAAGGATCAGAGGACCGGATGACCATGAACGGCTCAGCACGATCTTAACACAGTGTCGAACTGGTCAGTTCAAATATCTCTACCGTTCAACGTAGACAAATGTCGCGTAGTACAATTACGCCATTGACATAACTACACCTACATACTTGGGACAAACGAATTGCAGAATAGCTCCCAGGAACGTGATCTTGGTGTGATCGTACAGAGCGACCTCAACTGTTCAAAACAGGCTTAGGTAGCTGCCAAAAGAGGCAACCAGCACGTCGGCATGCTGCGAAGGGCATTCGGGAGATTTGAACCATCAATTTTCCTGTTATAGATTGGATAGATTGCCTTAGTCGTCGCCGCTGTTATAATTGAGGGAACGCCGCCTCTTGAGATAATTGCGTAATTGCCTGATAAGAGGGTCGCTGGCACGCCTACGATAATTGCTTGTTACGCTGACCACTCGAACGGAATTGCGCTGTCCTGATGACGCTGGCTTAGCCGGTGAGACGGAAAATTGAACGAGCGTGGGAACGATCTTAGCCGCACTTGTTCGTATAGACGCTGAGGCCTCGAAAACGGACGCACACGAGAGGGGGTACGATAGACGCGCGCTAATGACTTAGACGCGAAGGCTGGCCAGCTAACGATTCACACGCAATCACGCGACCCGACCGACTCCCAACTGAGGCGAAGAGAAAGAAAAGACAAGTGGTCCTCTGTAGGCTCTTTTACGACCAACAAAGGGCAATCACAGAGAGTGCTATGGATTATTAAGTTAAGGAAAACTGTCACCACGAAGAGGTGGTAGTTTGTAAATGGCCATTGTCAGAAGGTGCGCAGTTTGGGCCGCGTCTCGGAGTGGCTGAGCTCTGCTGCGTTGTGGGGAGGAATTGGCCCTCGCTTTCCACAGCCATTCTGCTGGGGTTTCTGGCGCGATTTTGCGGGAATATTTGACGTGCCCGCAACACCTCCCTTTGAAGAGAAAGCGTACCGCTTCTGGCAAGGATTGACCTGGAGGGATTTCGGTGACCTCCGGATTCTTTCTGTTCGTCGGCAAGGTGGGTTTTCGAGACGCGGCGTCGATTGAGCGGCTTCGACCGTGGTCTCCCGTTGTGGAGCCATTCCAAAGGTATCCAGCAGGATGTGCAGCGGCAGGTGCACGGGATGGCTGGCTGGCGTGGAGGTTTCTCCGTGGCGCGGACGAAGTTGATTGCGATGGCGAACCCAGGTGTCATCACCCACGGAGACATCATGAAGCATATCACCTCGCCTGGCTGTCACTGTTGCTTTGATCCAGCGAGGATGACCTGCTCGGTAATCGCGAGCGTAGACTGGGGCTCCGACGGCGAATGCTTTATGTTTGGTGCAGGCACCAGATTGGGTAGGTGGCTTCTCAGTCGGAATGAGCGCATCGTTTGTGGTGCGTAGCTTGCGGCCCATCAATGCTTCAGCTGGTGACTGGCATTCTGGCGTAGCTGGATTCGGTGTGGACCGGTACGAGAGCAGGAAGGCTTGAAGACACTCATCCACAGTCCCCTCCCCGCGAGATTTCAAAAGCGCCTTCTTGAATGTGTCGACAAATCGCTCCGCTTGACCATTGGATTGGGGATGGTAAGGCGGTGAGCGGAGGTGTTCGATGCAATGTCGGCGGCAAAAGTCTTCGAAGACAGAAGACGTGAACTGGGTACCATAGTCGGACACCAAGACTTCGGGAAGGCCATGTTGACTGAAGATTCGTTGGAGACAAGCCAGCGTGGCGGATGCGGTTGGGGGGTTGACGGCGACCACTTCCGGCCATTTGGAATAGGCGTCGACCACGACCAGATAGGAAGTGCCATCGATGGGACCAGCGTAATTGATGTGCACTCGAGACCACGGTTTTGCTGGCGGATGCCAAGGAACTGGTGATTGGTGTGGTGGCATCTTTGAGGCTTGTTGACAATCCTGGAGCACGGGGGTGGATTGACTGGCTTTGTCGTCGGTTCGGTCTTTTGGTACTGTCGGAGAATGTACCACGTTACAGATGGCCCGAAGAGGAAGATCGGCCAAGCCAAGGGTTTCGAGCCAGTCGAGACCAAGCACGTTGAGCTTCGCCTTTGTGATGTAGCAGGTCGCGTTGAACGTGGCGCCCCGGAAGGAGACGGAGCAGTGCAGCTGCCCAGTTAGCTGCACGCGACCACCACAGGCGCTGGTGGCAGATTGGGAGGTCGGTTCGAACGGTGGCTTGCCAAGGGATCGCCAGAGATCCTCGGAGATGATTGTGATGTCCGACGCAGTGTCCAACTGCAATCGGACCGACTGACCATTGATCAGGACGTCGACGAACTTTCTCCGATCCGCAGCGTTGATTTGGAACGTGGCCAGCAGGCTCAGGGAGCTGCCAACCGGACCAGGTTTGGGTGTGCGTCTGGGTCGGGACCTCTTCTTTGGATCGCGGGTGGGGGCCAGCCCAGTTTTGGCCCCCTTGGGAGATGGAGGATGGCAGTAACCATCCCGGTGCCCCACCCTGCCACAACGTTGACAACGATGCTGGCGGAACTTGCAGTCGCGGTGGAAATGCCAGGCACCACAGAATCGGCATGCGTAGGGTGGGGACTTCGCTCGGTCGGATTGGGTGGGGCGCGCGGACGATTGCGCCCTCGGTGCTGTGACTGCCTGGACCATACCAGGTGCGGCGGCGTTCTGGATCATTGCAGAATCGTGCTTCAGATTGAGCAGCGTTTGACACTCCTCGGCCAGGTTCTGGAGTGTGACTGATCCATCCTGTTGTAGCTTGGACAGGAGGCGCGTCCGGATATCGGCATCGTGTGGAGATTGGAGGCCAGAGACGAAGATCAGGCATTTGAATTGGTCCTCGGTGAGCGAGCCAAGTTGAAAACGTTGGCATTCACGGTTGACCATGCCCGCGTACGTGATGAAGTCGTCGGCATCACGTTTGACCAGCTGCAGACATTGGTAACGAGCATTGAACAGAGAGGACTGCTCGCCAAAAATCTGTGACAACGTTCGGACCGTGTCGTCAAAGGTAACGTCCCGTGGGTTCCTCGGCAAGATGAAATTGGTGTAACGCTGGTGTTCGAGGGTACCAAGTTTGCGCAGAAGCAGCCGGACCTTCCACGCGTCGTCCTGGCAAGCCAAGTCAACGGTGAACAGGTCCTCGTACCGCTTGTACCAGGATTCGAACGTTACTCCGGCCTTGGCGTCGTACAGGAATTCGCTGATGCCGCTAACCACATGGTCCATTGACTGAGAATTGGCGCTCGGACCTGCATGAAGG